AAAAGAACAGACAAGGGACAGGCATTTGGAACAGTGGTTAAGGCACCGCTTGGTACACCCATATCCCACGTTGAAGTACCTGCATTGGAGTCCTAGCTCCCCTCACAATGACAGCTTCCTAATAAAGTGCTCCCTGGTAGGCAGCAGGTGTCAGCCAAGTAGCTGAGATACAGCTACCCACACAGGAGACTCAAATTGAGTTATCGGCTTCTGGTTTACACCTGGCCCAACCCTAGCTGTTTCAGGCATTTGGGGAGTAAACCAGCAGATAGAAACACCTCTCTCTCTCTATCTCCCTCTCTCCTTCCCTCCCCCTTCAAAGATAACTTACAGAACAGGAGAAAATGCGTCTGACAAAGGACTAATAGCCAGAGTATATAAGAAATTTCAAACTCCACAACAACATAACAAATCATTCAGTTAAGAGATTGACAACCTGGGGACCAGCAGTGTGGCACAGAGAGAAGCCACTGCCTATAATGCCAGCATCCCATATGGGCACTGGTTTGAGTCCCAGCAGCTCCACTTCTGATTCAGCTCCTTACTGATGTGCCTGAGGGGGCAGCAGTCTCTTCATGTGGGAGACCCAAAGGAAGCTCCTGGCTCCTGGCTTCTGGTTCCTGGCTCCTGGTTCCGGTCTGGCCCAGCTCTAGTTGTTGTGAACATCTTGGGAGTAAGCCAGAGGAAGGAAGATCTCTCTATCTCTCTGTCTCTCCTTCTCTCTCTCTGACTCTGCTTTTCAAATAAATAAATAAATCAATAATAAATAAATAACACTGCAAGGAAGTTTCATCTCACTTCAGTTACCAAACGGACTAAAATTATCAAAAAGACTAAAAATAATGAGTGCTGGTGAGGATGCAGAGACATGGGAACGCTAGTTGGAAATGAAAATTAGTATCCCCATTATGGAGACCAGTAATGGAGTAGGAGAGATGAGTCATCCCACTACATAGTCAGAGACTGGGATGAGCCAGTATCCCAAGTCTCGGTCTATATCTGAAGAAAATTCAATCAGCACACGAAAGAGATTCCTGTACTCCTACAGTCATTGAAGCACTACTCCAATAGCCAAGATATGGAATCAACCAAGATGTCCATCAACGGATGGATAAATAAAATACGATCTATATGCACAGTGGACTGTTATTCAACCATAAAAACGAACAACATCCTAATATTTACAGCAAAATGGATGAAGGGTGAAACTAGAGATATTACATTAAGTCAAATAAATCAAACACTGAAAGACAATACCATATGTTCTGTCTTATATGTGGAAGTTAAAAAAAAATGGTCAGTTCACCTCAACTGAGAGCATTTATTACTAGAAGTTTGGAAGAGGAGTAAGGGAAATGGAAGGGGGGGTGGATAATGGAGCCAAAACACAGTATCATGACTTAAGGAAAATATTGTTCACAATACTGTTGCATACGCCACATTAAGAATTGGAAGACAAGGGGTGGTATGATGCAAACACAAGACAAGCAACGGAAAGGCTGGTGGCTTGGTTTTGTTGGTTTACGCTGTATATCTGTGTTGAAATATTGCACTAGAATATACAAATATCACATGACATTTGTACTCTACTAGAATGTACAAATATCACATGCTAACCAAATGTATTTTAAAACAAGCCTAATGTTTTTTGGTCAAAGAAAAAAATCTAAAGTTGATGCTGATGATGACACTTTGGAGCCTCTTTTGGGTAACAAGATCATGGATTGTAAGCTCACAGAGGACAGGGACTTTCTTGTCTCAATCACTTTAGTAGACACCCAGCACCTACCATGATTTGGGGCACATTTAGACACCCTCATGTGCTTATTGGATGTGCGAATTTCCCCTTCTGCCAAGAGGCATGCCTCAGTCTTTGTATAGATACGATGTCTTCTTCCCAGCACCTGCAATGCCATACAGAGTAGAGCTCTTGCTTGCTTGCTCCTTCTTTCTGTGCATCAATGATAAATTGCCCGGGGGCAGAGTCTGTCTCATTTCCTGTATATATCCTTAGTACTTGTGACAGTGTTTGGGCCATAAAATGCATTCAGCTAATGTGTGTTCATTAATAAATGATCTGTAAATGAACAACCTGTTTTTCACACACATACACTCACACCCATGCAGGAACTGGTCTCCACTACTGTGCATTTCCCTAACTTTCAAAGCTGGATCGCATATTTTCTGGAGAAAATGTGCATACAGAGTCATCATCCTAAGATCAGACACGAGAGCTTGCTGGACTCGGCAAATGAGGAGATGTCTCCCCAGAACTAGACTAATACATCAGTGGTTGTCATTTTCAACTGGTGCTTTCTGTCTTGAAGGACAGCTGCTCTGCCAGGCTAGAGGCTTGGGGCCACTTTCAAGGTCGCTGTCCCTTCTCAGATCTGGCACTGAGTCTGGTCTGGAAGCCTGCCTTCTCAAAGTGGATTAGGTGTCCCCCACCCCCGAGCGTGCACGCCCTGGCTGCACTCCAGATTCTCATACCTAAATGCTGGGTGATGTTCTCCAAGGACACAGGCACCTCTTCCGCCCGTCTGGGCCTGAGTCACGCTCACTGATCTGAGCCCATGCACGCTTTCTGACATGGCCATTGCCCACACCTGCTGCAACCATAAGCCTTGTGATGTCATCACCTTAAGCGTGGCAGGAAACACACTAAACAGCTTGTATCCAAAAGAGAATCAGAAATTAAGTTACAACTCAAGAATAAAAACAATGAATGGATGAATGAACAAATCTCTTAAAACACTTGAGTATTTATATGAAATTTCACCTCTCTTTTCCCATCAACTCCTTAATATCATTTACATCCATAATCCTCTGTGTAAAAAAAAATGGGATTTTATTGAAAGTCTAGTTAAGTCTCCTCCAGAAAAGCGGTGAGAGAGGCACACAACCCAGACAATAACTCCCCATTTAAGACCTGTGGTCCTCTTTTCATTTCTGTTTGAACTCCGCGGGTTTTCCCACCCCGAACAAAGGAGGTGCGTACAGTTACTGTTTCTAGCAAGAAAAAGCAAAGAGGCAGCAACCAGTGAAAATTTACGTAAAAGGAGGAGACTGCATTGTGGCATAACTGGTTAAGCCACCATCTGCAACACCAGTATCCTATACAGGCACTGGTTCAATTCAAGATCGGGTTGCTCCACTTTCCATCCAGCTCTCTGCTATGGCCTGGGAAAGCAGCTGAAGATGGTCCAAGTGCTTGGGCCCCTGCACCCACATGGGAGACCTGGGAGAAGCTCCTGGCTCCTGGTTTCCGCCTGGCACAGCAGCCATTTGGGGAGAGAACCAGCAGATGGAAGACCTCTCTCTCCCCTCCCCATCTTTGTCTCTCTCCTCCCTCTCTCTTTTTCTGCAACTCTGCCTTTCAAATAGATTTTTAAAAGCTCAAAAATAAAAAATAATCAAACAGGTTGAGGAGGCAGCCCTGTGTAGATGAAATGTCCCTTCTCCTCGTAGCCATGGCTGATTGAACCTGGAAGGGTACATTCCACAATCAGGGTGTTAACTTCCTGACAGCAGAGAATTTCTTATAAAACAGAAAAGAAGCAAGGAGATGATGTGAACCATGCTCAGAAGTGTGCTCCCTCGTCTATCCATTATTAGGCTTGCAGGACTCACTGTGTAACAGACCGGCCTGGTGGAATAGGGAAAGAAGTGAGAAAGTGGCCCATGGACTTGTGGCTTTGTGACTTTTTATACGATTGCTTTCTCCACCCTCCTTTCTTTTGCTATGCAGATATAGATAGAGATAGAGATAGCTATAGATAGAGAAATAGGTATATGTGTTTGTGCCTCATTGCTTTTCTGGGGAAGACTTCACTTAGCCTTTCAATTAAATACCATTTTTATACGCAGAGTTATGACTATAAGCAAGTTTAAGGAAATGTCAGAGGGAAACAGATGAAATTTCATATAAATACTCAAGTGTTTTACAAGAGATTTGTTCATTCCCTCATTCATTGTTTTTATACACACACACACACATATACATTTATGTACACACATACATACACACAGATAACCATATCGACCCACTGGGGAACTTTGTGAAAAAAAAATGAGATTAAGAGTTTATTTTTTTTTGCAAAAACCTTGAAATCTGTATGTATTTTTTTCATAATACGCATTTTCCAAGAACTCTTTGAAGACCACTCATACGCATGGGTTTCAAAAAAAAATGTTTGCACCAAAATTAATTTAGCTTTAAATGCCATTTCCCACAAAGTTTTTGGAGCGTCATACACATACATAAACACGGCTTCAGGTAGGGATTTATATCCCCAGATAGGTAAACAATCCAGGTAGAGCAATCTGGGCACATAGGTACATAGACAGCTTTCTATTTTAAACGCATATAGCAAAAGTGTTACTGCTGAAGCAGGGTATTTAACCACCTGGCTGGTGCGGACAGAGAGGCGGCTGTGGCCTGGCTTCTGGGACCCTCGCCCCCATCCCGCTATTTCCTGGGACCACGCTGAAAACGCCTGCAGTTAGTGCAAGGGGCACTTCAGAGGCTTCCTAAGGTTTCCTTAGCAGGGCCCCCAGCACCGTCCTCATCAAGAGTCTCCATCCTTGACCCTCGGCGCCCAGGGCGACCCCTGGAGAAGCTTCCTCCGCTGCTGTCCGAGAACAAGGGAGAACCAGCCTCCCCCGGGCTTGCAGCTGCTCTGTCGGGAAGCAGAATTCTCGCAGTCGCTCCACTGCCCCATGCCCTGCTTGCAACCTGAGTCCAGAGAACTCAGAGGGGTCACGCCCTCCGCCGCGCCTCTCGCGGGGATGGCGATGCCGCGGGCCAGGGCTCACTCTGGCCCCACGCCCAGCGTTGGCCCCCGGGGCCGCTCCGCCCGGCTCCCTTCGCACCCCTCACCCCCGCCCTCCTCACGAGGGCACCGTCCCCAGCACCACTTGGCTCTGACGTCCGCCGCCCGAGCTCTGACGACAGCCCCCGCCGGCCGCCCTTATAAAGAAGACCTTTCCCGATACTCAGACCGATCGCCAGCGCTGCGCCCTCCGCCGCGCCCGCACCTGTGCGCTCCGTGCGGACCGCGCTGACCCCGCAGCCTGCCCTCCCACACCTGCACCCCTGACCTCGCCACTCGCCCTGCCTCCCCCACCCCTCACTCTTGCACAAACGCACCTCCACGGTTCCGGGGGCGGTGGCCCGGGAGCATCCCGACCCGACAGAGCGCGCTACTCCTCGCGGCGACCACCCCAGGTAGGAGCGCAGCGGAGCGGGCATCCCTGTCCCCCCGGGGCCGCGCCCTCGGGTCGATGGTGGCCCCCGACGAGCTGGGAGGTTTTAGAGGGGACGGGACGCGGCTCTTTTGTATCTTGATGGGGATGCGCTACCGGGCGGCTCTCTAGAGCTCCTGGCTCGCGGGGTGCGAGCCACGACAAAGAAGGTGCCCAGGAGAGACTGCAGGCGGTCAGCGCCCGGACCGCAGCCCCAGAGAACACCTGCCGGCTTCCTACTCACAGAGGCGGAGCCCACCCGGCCCGCCCGTGGGCGCTTCTTTTGCTTTCCCTGAATTTCAGGGAAGCTCCGTCGCTCAAGGTTTCATCACTCACCTGCCACCTGCACCTGCTTGCCCAAGTATGTGAGCCCCCTCCCGAAACTGGAGTTCGTGAATTGGGGTGCATGGAATAGCGACAAACGCTGGTGAGAATAAAAACAAAGAGCAGTCGTTTCACAGGTGAACGGTTTAGAACTCGACATCTGTTTCCCAAGAGCCTTGTTCTTCATATCCTCTACTCTGTTCTGCTTTTAGGCAATCAGTATTTTTAAATCATTGTTTTTTATTTATACCATCGTGGTGGGGGCAGCTTTGACAGGAACAAAAGACAATGGACAACCAAGAGCTTGGACCTTTTAAACATCAAAAATATTTACTTGCTACAGGAACTGGGACCACAGGAACTTGTTGAAAACGTGGAGCTGAATTTCAAAAACTGATTTTTCCCAAAGTTTCCTTTCCAGATAGTTTCCTACTAGATTACCTTGAATTCCCTGAAATTGTTTGGATGGATAAATAGAAAGATTGAATGAATGAGTAGTTAAAAATTATTAAAGTAGTCTCAAAATACACTTACATTGCTGAAAAATCTCAGCAGAGCAATGTAGTTTGAAAAATCAAATGCACCCATATTCTTTGTAAAGGATTTCCTGACAGTCTCTAAGATACAAGGTTATTTTTTAAATAGAAATAATTTATTAAAGACAAAATAATTCAGAGTCTACTTAAATGTTTCTCTTTTTTTATTTCTTCAAGAGTTGAAAGAATATTTAATTGTTTAAGGGAAATAGAGTAGTGCAGTGCTAACGACATTTCATGTGGTTTTAACGTCTCTTTCTTTAAGTGGCAGGAGATTTCTCAGAATCCAGCTGGCTTATTCCTGGCTGACCTGTAGCATGATGTCTGGCTGGTTCGTAATGCCTGACTGTATTTTCTTCAGAAGTCTTCATGAAGTAGCCAGCTGCAGAAGAATCCAGACCCTTAGATAAAAATGGCTTTCCACGTGGAGGGATTGATAGCTATCATCGTGTTCTACCTGCTGATCCTGCTGGTTGGAATATGGGCCGCGTGGAGAACCAAGAACAGCGGCAGCGCCGAGGAGCGCAGTGAAGCCATCATTGTCGGTGGCCGAGACATTGGCTTGTTGGTTGGCGGATTCACCATGACAGGTAGGCTTGGGCGCTGCCCACCCTTCCTTGGCTTCTCCAAGCATACAGCATTCATCTTTAGAGTCATAAAGCCTTTTGCATCTAAAATAAGTTTACACTTAATTTAAATCTTAAAGGGATTTCAGCGCAATTGTACTTGCACAAACTGATTTTTATCATAAACTGGCTGGGCTGAAATAAGGAAACAAATCGGGACTCTGGGGTGTCTGGTGGGTGGAGACAGAGTAAAAACAGAGTGTGCTATGCTTCTGAGGGGTGCATTGGTCAGTGTCTCCACAAGTCCATTGATAACACGAGTGAACTCATGACTTTGGGTCATCTTAAATGATAAATGTCCATGAATACTAACCAGTGGTGGCTTTCAGCCGGAATAGATCAATTAGGTGACAATACAATTCCAAACTGATTGGTGCCCTGTTCTGAAACCTAATTCCCCCGGTTAATAACTAATTTCCTTACAGGAAGACAGCCATGTATTATGCCGCTAAAGAGGAGGTTTCCAGGAAACTTGGTTTGAAAGGAGAAAAGCTAGGGCGTGTCCTCACCAGACTTCCCCAGCCACCATCTGCAGCTCTCTCCTTCAGGTCTGCTTTGTGCTTGTAGGAGAGGCTGGCCTTCCTGCACTGTGCCATGAACTGATTCTGTTTAAAGGGTGATTTGTTGCATGTTTATATACTTCTTGGCCATTGTAACCCATTTCTTAAAAACAACTGAAAATCACATCTTTAATATGACTTGCTACATGCTCACTAATAACACATATTTAAGAGTCTTAGTCAGTTTTGAGCATTCATAGCATGGTCTTTACTCACAGGAGCTATGAGTATATGTTGGCAAAATATCTCATTGGAAATCCTTAACCAAATGATTCCCAGTGTCAGTCCTGAATGCTATTTTTAAGTGATTCACTCTGTAGACCAAGTAATTTACTGAGCCACTCTGTGAAAACAGCACCCTATTCTGAGTGCATTGACATTGTACATGGGAAACCTGCCGTGTTCCATATGGATAGTAGATTTTATCTCATGGCACTGGGAAGGGGCCTTGAGTAATCCAAGATTTCATGGTTAATAAAGACCGAAGCTAGGACCAAATTCATGTCTTCTGATGGCCACAGCTGAGGTCCCCACACTGTAGCACATGCAACTTTCTCACTGGTCTCACTTTATTTCTTTATATTGTTTGTTGAAACTGTTGACAGGAATAAATGCCTGGTGTATATCAAAGTATTTTGTTCACTGCAAATTATATTCTGTTACTCTAGTTTAATATCCTATTTAATATGTTCATGACAATAACATTTCAGAGTTTGTCTTTTAACATTACAGTGATTTTTTCAATCTAATAGACTATTAAGGTACATAGACAATATTCAAATGATGCTATTATAAAGTAGCATGATTTAGCTCAATTTTTGAAGAGCTTTTTAGCTCTTTTGAAATCAAAAGAACTTGGTCAACATTACAATTCATTCCAAAATTGAACCATATTTTCTAAGCCTTATCAGATTCATTGACTTGTATGTATTTCATAACAAAGAAGATTGACGTGTGTGTAGTTTAAAAGTTTGTGTTCTCACTCATGAATTCAATTCAAAATATATAAATATGGAGAGCAAATGCTGGCACAAAACAGGCTCAGTCGACCAAAAATATTAGAGGGACTTTGTTTAATCATAATAAGTAACTCAATTTTCACATCTATTTTATAATAGTTGCAATCATTCAGGCACCAATCTCCTTTTCTGGACAGGCAACAGGAGATCGATGCAATGAAAAATGATCACTAATAAGCTTTGTTCCTGTCAGCTCAGCAGAGAGTGCGCTGGAGGCAGAGGGGCAGTGCTGGTGTGTTAGCAGTTCCTTTTACTAGCAGACAGATTAAGCCTGAGGTTCTGTGCTCTAACAGTCCATTTTTCAGGCCCTTGTTACACACGGGGGCCAGAGTGGGGGGCAATTTTAAATTTTCAGTTGGGCTTAGAATAAGAAAAACTAATGCTGGAATTTGTTATTTGTTTATATCCAATATTAAAGTCACTGTAAAGTTGCCAGTTACAGATAAATATGTGTTTGTCCATTTCAAGATGCTGCGTACAAACTTTTCATTTAAATACGCTTAAATTTCCTGTATGGGAAAGTCTTTCCAGGTTTTAAAAACAGTATTAGCCCCTAAACACTTTTCTTTGCTTTGTGTTGGAAAAGAAATGAATAAATATTCTTGCAGGAGCACAACAAGTGTTCACTAGGTTACTTAAATAATTTTGCATACTGTTATTTCTTTTACTTACATTATAGCTATGAGAGTAAAGGATTTCTTTTCAGGAAATTATATTCCTAAGTAGTATGATACAACATAGAATTCATTCTCATATCTAATAAGCTCCTTACCAGCCTGCAGCTGTCATAATTTTAGACAAACTACATAGGGATTCCTTTGACTTTTTGATTATACTCTTAAAAGGATATAAATCGCAAAAATTTAGTGTTCTGCTAATGTGCTTTTTGTAGCAGAGCTGAAATACTATATTTCTTCTTGGTATAACTGGTACTTTATAGAGAATTCTTGCCCCCAATTTGTTTAGCCAACACTTCTTGACTCCCTCATTCAGTTATTATGCTACAGAAATTTTAGAAATCTGAAACAAACATATTTCCTGCTATCATCTATGCAATATTAAATGCCTTATTAAATGACCCAGAAGAAAGAACTGAGTCAGTGTGCAAATAACATTTTACATTCTTTTGAGTCTAGACACTAAATGTATCTTGGGTACTTGGGACTGGAGAGGGAAAAGGTTATTGAAACTCGCCATTTGACACCTGAGGGTAGAAGTGTTCTCCCTTCACAATTAGCAAATTAAGGTAGTAAATGCTGCTGGGTTGAGATGCAGATGGGATTTGCTGGACCCTATGCATCCAGAGGGCTTAAGAATGAAAAGCACACTCACATACACCAACTCCCCACAGTGCACACATATAGATGGACACGTGTGTTTGCATACATGTAAACATGTATACACACACCCTTGCTCAAGGATGATAGTCAATACAACTAAAATGGAAAAGCCTTGAAATAAAGATACTCAAGTCTATGTTATGGGGGCTGGGGAAAGGTTAGTGGGCATTGTTGAGAATAAAAATAATCAGGGGGGCTGGCGCTGTGGCATAGCAGGTAAAGCCGCCACCTGTGGCCCCAACATCCCATCTGGGTGCCGGTTTGAGTGCTGGCTGCTCCACTTCCAATCCAGCTCCCTGCTAATGTGCCTGGGAAGACAGTGGAAGATGCCTCAAGTCCTTGGGTCCCTGAACCCACATGGGAGATCTGGAAGAAGCTCCAAACTCCAGGCTTCGGATCTGCCCAGCTCCAGCCATTGTGGTCATTTGGGGAGTGAACCAGTGGATGGAAGGCTCTGTAACTCTGCCTTTCAAATAAATAAATCTTCAAAAAATTCATTAAAGTTGTTACACATAATCTCAGACTTTAGGGTATATAATAATATCATTGAAATGTGGTGATAACTAGATGTATTTAGAAAACTTCCAGGGTAACACTTTCCAATAGAAAAATGAGTTTGAGCCACAGATGTAATGTTAAATTTTCTACAAAACTTTTTTAAGACTTTGAAAAATGTTTAAGATGATGGAAATCCTAAGGATTTGATCACCAGACATTGAGCATATATATTCAATGATCAGATTGTTCTCCCTAAATATACTTACAAAAGTAATAATACAAATCAGGTGAACTAGTGTTACTATCATTTGCTTAACACATACACATTCAAAATATTGTCATTTTAATATGTGATCAACATCTAAAATAGGTCAAAGTAAAGCCAGGTACGGGATACATGGAAATTTTACGCTACTTCACAATTTTTTTGTAAATTTAAATTTTTTCTGAAAGAAAAAATTAAAAAAGAAGAAGACTTTTGAAATCTAGTGTGTGCTTCACACTTATACAACACCTCAGACTCAATCAGCTACATTGTAGGTTCCCAGTAGCTACATAGGGAGAGTAGTTGCCAGATTGGGTAGGCAGGTGTGGGGCATAGCAGGCAATTAGTTTCATTCCCTCATTTTTTGTTCTGTTTCAGCCACCTGGGTAGGCGGAGGGTACATCAATGGGACAGCGGAAGCAGTTTATGTTCCAGATTATGGTCTAGCCTGGGCTCAGGCACCAATTGGATATTCTCTTAGTCTGATTCTAGGTAAGTAAAAGTTTAAATCTCAGTGACTCACTCAGGAAAGAATAAATAACATGAATATAAATACCAAGTGAAATAAGCCAAACACAATGAATAAATTATTGCAGGGGGAAATGGCACCAGAAATCTCTAAATACCTATTACCAGAAATTGGTAACTAGCAGAACACTAATGCTTACATTATTTGATCTCTTGATTATAGGATATGTAAAATTTCCAAATCCTTTGAGCTCATGGATATTTGAACAGTGAATTTCTTTACATAATCATGTTTCATTTCTTTCAAAAACTGCTATGGCTATTCAAAATGAATCAACTTGATTATACCAGAATTTCCTTTTGTAAATCAAACTAATAAAAGGTCAAGAATTACATAACAGAGTCTCTCTCTCTCTCTCTCTCTCTCTCTCTCTGCATTCAACATATGTTCATTGGATCTATGCTTACTCAGAATGCCCGAGTACTGTGGTAGGTGATACAAGGGCACCAAGACATTTTAAGTGAGCACTGTTCTCCAGTGTGTTTTTCAACTCACATGCCTTAATTATTCCAGCCAGTTGTCCTTTGGACACTTATGTGTACAATGTTAAATGTATCAAGGAATTGATTTTATGGTGCTAAATAGTTCTTGCTACTTTCCTGTATAATTCAAATAGGCTCTTCAGTGCTGCTATATTTTCTAAAAACTTCATTTTCCTTGAGAAGTTACAGTATACTACAGGTTTGGCAAAGACTATTATGGATTTTAAATTTTCTCCTAAACACTTGCTTAATTTATTTCAGGTGGTCTGTTCTTTGCAAAACCTATGCGTTCTAAAGGATACGTGACCATGTTGGACCCATTTCAGCAGATCTATGGAAAACGCATGGGTGGACTCCTGTTTATCCCTGCGCTGATGGGGGAAATGTTCTGGGCTGCCGCAATTTTCTCGGCTTTAGGTAAGAACCAAGGGAGCATGGTTCCAGCTGAGTCTCTCCAGTTAACTGCCCGTCAGGTACACAGCCTTACTTTACTCAGCTGTGGCTTCTTACAGATTATTAAATCACATAGTGCATGATGTTTCTATTCATAAGAGCTTCACAGATATTCTGCATTTACCTGCAATTCAGCAACAAAGGTTAAATAAAATCTCAACTGTATTTGTTTTTTACTTGAATGGCATCATTAGAGTGATGGCCATGAGTTATCTTACAGTGAACAAATTTATTTAAATTTATTTATTTAAAATATACTTTTAAGACAATGATCCATAAGCCAGGGTTTAAAGAGGATACTGGTATACATTTTGAGTGTTAAGTAAATTTAAACCAATGGTTTATACTTTAATTTCTTCTTATTTTCTCTTTTCTATAAACAAAAAACTTTTTACCTTCAACTGGTTTTCCCTCTAATAAGTATCTTAATTGCTACATTCAAAACTATCCAAACTTCTCAAATAACAAAATTGCATGAGTTGCAAAAAGCATTAATATTTCTAGAGATGTTGGCTTTTTAAAAAGTCATTTTGCTGTCCTTTTAAGCATCTAAAAATTTTATTGATTTATTTGAGAAGCAGAGAGACACAGAGAGACAGAGATTTCCTATCATCTGGTTCACTTTTTAAATGCTCACAATAGCTAGGGCTGGATCAGGCCAATCCAGAAGCCAGGAATAAAATCCATGTCTCCCAGCGGGTGGCAGGGACTACTTAGGGCCATCCCCTGCTGCCTCCCAGAGTCTGCATTAGCAGGAAACTGGAATGGAGAGTAGACCTGGGACTTGCATGTCACTTGAACTCCTAGTGTCAGCTTAACCGCTAGCCAAATTTTTAAATAGACATATTTTATTTTAAAAGCCAGTGTCAGGGAAGCATTTGTGTAGCAGTTACAACTCCACTTGGGACACTTGCATCCCGTATCAGAGTGCCTCGGTGGGAGTCCTTGGTCTACTACTGAACCAGCACCCTGCTATTGAGCACCCCTGGAAGTGCAGCTGATGGCTCAAATACCAGCTCCCTGCCGCCCATGTGGAAGTGTGCTTTGAGTTCCCCATTCTTGACTTTGGCCTGGCCCAGCCCCAGCTGCTCTGAACATTTGGGGAGTTAACCAGCAGAAGAAAGATTCTCTCTCTCTCTCTCTCTCTCTCTGTGTGTGTGTGTTTCTCTCTGTGTGTGCCTCAGATAAATATGTATGTATGCATTTTTAGAAAAACAAATATAAGACGAGGTGCCAGTTCCATCAGTAAATAGCATTATTCAAGAAATGAGCTATCGCTAGCCCTCTGCAAACAGAACAGGCAAATAATGTAAACTACCAGCAAAACCACCAAACTTGAAACATTTCAATTAATTGACTTTGGTAAAAGCATAGGGTTATGGTTTAATAGCAGAAAAGTTAAGTGTGGTTGGATGTAGCAAGGACTTCTGTCCAGGTTGCATGTGCTCTTACTAATTCACATAAGAAGTTTCCTGGATCTTTGAGCTTCTCCTTATCTCCAACGCAATCATAGAGACCCAGGATAGAGATGCAACGCCTGCAGCCATGTGAGAGCCTCTGAGCAGACTGAGACTATTGAAGCCAGCTGGATGATATAGAGCCCCCAGGGAGAGGGTGTGCACCTGCCACATGTGCACCTCCATCCTTCAAGTTATCCAGCTCAGCTTTGGGATCCATCCTTAAGCTTGTGTTCCTATCTACTTCCTCCCCAAACCTCTCCCTTCCTTCTTGTCCATCTCTTCCTGTGCCCTGCCAAAGCCTTTCCTGCCTCAGTAAATTCAAACGTCTTCCTGCTTGTGGTTCTGCCTTCCCTGTCATCTCAGACACATCCTTCTAAGTTCAGATCTCATCATATGTCTCTCCTGATTAAAACCAAACCATCCTGTAGTATGACTTGAGTCTTAATTCTCTCCTCTCATTATGCCTTCTACCCCATAGGCCCTTTCCTTCTTCCAGAACCACGGTCCTACTCTCTCACTTCTGACATTTTGCCAGTCCAGGTACCCGTGCTTAGCTCCCATCTCCCCTCTTCCCTATCTTATCATCCACCCATATCATCACTAAGCATCCTACAGATCATCTCATAGAAGTCATGTCCTGGCACGGTGCCCCTGGATGTGCCAGGCACCTCTCCCATGGGCTTCATGAGGCACTGGGAATGTTGTTTTCATGAAAGTTATATTACTTTGTATGATCCTTTGCCCACTTATTTGTCTCATGCCCAATTCTCCACTGTGCAAAGGGATTATACATTTCTTGAAAGCAGGGCTTTGTGTGTTGTCAATAGCTATCCTATCCCAAATCAATGGGTAAAACATTTCTAGCTATACGTACTCCAAAAAGAAAAGAAAAAAGGAGTATTGCTTTTTGTCCTCCCTAATGTAATCCAATTAGGTCATGAACTATTAGCTTGTAGACACCTTTGGGGATCTACAAGCTGGACTGAGACTCTCAGGGTCTCAAAACCAAGAGCTTTGGCTCTTGCATTTTAGCTCTACTTGTAAGACTTGGAAAGCAAGAGATTTAAGTGGGATCATCAAAGATCCTCAGGCTCAATACCTTACTTTGGATCAAGAGCAGACTCACACTATGCCACTGAGCGTTGCGTGGGTTCTTTCTTAAAGGTCAGGAGATAAGAGGCAGCATGGCTTTCCTCAATGAGTTGTGTTAGTGTTTGGTGTCTGGGCATTCATGTAGACAGTATCTGTCACCTCTCCTTACAAAAAGAAGTATATGACTGAAGCCTACTGTCAAACTTTAGGTGATCAGAATGAAAGTAAGATAAGGTGAATTGCACCTTATGTTATATATCTCAGGCTAAAAGCTTATCTTACGCTTTCACCATCATCATCATATGTAGCCCTTGCAATATTGGATGGTAGTTTATACTACGTTTCTCTCCCAAAGTCCCAGATTAGCTTGTGTTGTTTCCTTGATCCCTGACTATAAACCAAGGAGTCGCTTGATGTGGAGACACAGAGACTTTGTTATAAATACAGCAGTAATTTAGTGGAAAATGTTGCACTTCTCTGGTGCAAGATAGCTGCACTTGTATCTTAATGGGATTATATGTAATTCTCATTAGCTCAGAAGCAATGGGAGTTGATTTGCCATTGGTGGCAGCACTAGAAATTTTTGATTTTAATAGCAAGCTACCTGCTGAGGTATCAAAAAACGAGTGGGCTAAATATCTAACAGAATGCAAAATGTTCACTCTCAGTGAATAAAAATCAATTTCTGTAACAGAGCCATGCAAGGAGAATAAAATTAATGAGCTAATGCTTCTAAAGTATTTTAGAAGTATGAAATTGAATAGCTAACCCCTGAGCTTTGGTATGAGTGGCTTTTTTTAAATATTTACTTCTGTATTTGAAAACCAGAGTTATAGAGAGAGGAAGAGACACAGAGAAAAAGTGAGAGAGATATGCGGTCTGCTGGTTCACTCCCCAGATGGCCACAACCTCTGAAGCCAGGAGCCAGGAGTTTCATTCAGTTCTCCCACATGGGTGGGAGGGGTCAACCACTTGGACCATCTTTGGCTGCTTTTACCAGGCCATTATCAGGGAGCTAGATTGGAAGTGGAACAGCCAGGACACAAACTGAGATCTCATCACAGGTGGCGGTTTTACCCACTACACAATGCCAGCCCCACAAGTTATGTTTTTCTGTGTCTAGGTGTGTGTGTGTATATATATATATATATATATATATATATATATACTTATTTATATATAATACATATTTATCTATATATAACATGTTAACATTGCTCTCTATTGCTCTTTCTACACACACACACACACACACACACATCAGAAAATATATACCAAAACATTTACTTTTATCTTAGAGTCTATGCTCTGGTGGAGTGTTGTGAATTTTTTAAAAATCTATATTTCCTTCAAAAATCATAGTTGGACATAAATCAAAGTTATCATATATAAGAAATAGGTTGTGATACATAAGAATTGACAAATATGAGGTCTACTGGCACCACTCTGTGAATGTGCATAGTTCACCTTAGAAATAGGAGTATAAACGGATTATGTCTTGCAACTTTGTAAAAAAAAAAAAAAAAGAATATAGGGCCAGTGTTGTAGGCTAATTCTCCACCTGCAGCACCAGCATCCCATGTGGGTGCCGGTTCATATCCTGGCTGCTCCTCTTCCAAACCAGCTCTCTGCTAATGGCCTGGAAAAGAAGTAAAAGACTGCCCAAGTGCTTGGGCCCCTGGACCCACGTGGGAGTCCTGGAAGAAGCTCCTGGCTCCTGGCTTTGGATCAGCTCAGCTCCAGCCATTGTGGCCATTTGGGGAATGAACCAGTGGATGGAAGACCTCTCTCTCTGTCTCTCCCTTTCTCTGTCTACAAATCTGCCTCTCAAATAAATAAATAAATCTTTTTAAAAAAAAGTGTATGAGGGTGCTTTAAAAAGCTAGTAACAAAGTGAAAGTAAAAATAATTTATTTTGGTGCAAGACTTTTTTAAACCAATTTCACAGACACTTTGTGATGTGCCCTCATATTTATACTTTCAACAGCTCAAATTCAGTGTTTCATGATTTTATTAGCAGTGAATGTATTTTTATGCCTGTACAAGTAGACCAATATTTCATAGCAGATCTGGAAGCATAGCTTTGTTTTACTCCCTACAACTGATTTAATCATGCAGGGAAGATTTGAGGAAAAATTCATTTCAATCTTAATAGTAGAGGGGAGGTGGGTGACTTCTGTAAACAGCTGAGTTACATCCAAATGATGGCATCAAGGCCTGAGCCCAGTGATCTCTTCTGGGATTGAGCTTCTTCCATGTCATGGAATGCAATCTGGAGATGGTATTTGAGTGGAGACAAATGTGAAAAGAACAGGCAAACAGTTGCAGCATGAAAGAAAAGACTTCCACAACAGTAACTGGCAACCATAACTCAGCCAGTTATTCAGAGTAGATTATAAAGTACTGACCTCTTTCCTTTGTCTTCCTCCTTATACCCCTCACTAGGTTTTTTTATTCAAGAAAATAATGTTATTACTGTTGCAACAACACTGAAATAATGTTTCTTGAGAAATATTTTATGTTCCTATCTTAGATCAAAATAGCTTATATTGTTCTTTGAGGTAATGGCTTTCAGCCCCGGGGGTTGTGAGTGCTCTTAGTCTATCAGCTGAGGAGGAGGGTTGAATGGGAGAGAGCCAGGAGCAATGGAAGGCCCAGTTCACATATCTGTCACCAGTGTGCTGCCATACCTGTCACTGCTGTACTTAATATGAACTATAAACTACAGGGTTTTGAGAACAATGAAGAAAGAGCTTGTAGACAAGTGACTTATGAAGTGTCAGTCCAAGAACCACAGTGCTGCAGACACCCCACACTGCAGTAGTCTCATGGGACCATCAACAGACACAGCCCTGTAGTTCACAATAGCGTAGTATATACCATACAGGGAAATGGAGGAGGAGCTGGCAGGAACGTAAATTAGACTTCTAAGGCAGGCTTAGAATTTTGATGATGAAAATTACTCCAAAATATGATACTCCAGTCAAGGGTTCTGCAGTATATTGGTATCCTAGGAGCCAGAGAGCATGTTCCACCGACAAAATAAAAGAGATTTTTCATGAACTTGAGGGAGAAAAATCTGGTAATTCAATTTAACAATTTTATGACTTTATTTTTTCCCTACAAACTTGTCTCAATCCTTTGATATCTTCTACCATTTGTCAATGATGTAACCTAGCAGGGGCAGAGTAATGCAATACAGCAAATGAGTATTAGTTGTAAAATGTGGAAATGAATAACATGCTTCTCAGAAAACCTTGTTTTTACTATGGATGTGAGTAAGCACACTGCAGATACTTAAGTCAGGGCTTCAGATAGTTGGTGAAATGATTCTAAGTTCTTATAATGCAATTAGGTTCATGTGTATTTCAGTTTATGTGTTTATGTATGTGTACCCATATCAGGAATTTAGGTGTCATCTACATAAATAAGTCAGCAAAGCACTGATTTCAGAAAGCAAGACTACACACACACACACACACACACACACTCATGTATGCCTTCAATTTACTAACATATGAAGACTTCAGCATGCATCCAATACATTGTATGTGACACGGGAGGAACCGTGGCTGTCACTGAGCTGCAAGCATCCTTGCACGGGGAGTGGGTCCATCGAGCACCCAGAGCTGTCTGTTCCCTTTCAGGAGCCACCATCAGCGTGATCATTGACGTGGACGTGCACGCGTCTGTCATCGTCTCGGCGCTCATCGCCACCCTCTACACCCTGGTGGGCGGCCTGTATTCTGTAGCCTACACAGATGTCGTCCAACTCTTCTGCATTTTTGTTGGACTGGTAAGTGGGGTCACCCACAGATTTTCTTTCCTTCCTTCTTTCTTTCTTAAATTAAAGATAACGTTGTATTTTGTACTAACTCAGCAAAAATTTGTAGGAAAGTAGTTTTTCATCACAACAGGTACTAAGTCATATACCACTATAAACAAAAGCCCTCCTTGGAATAATTACATGAAAAACTCTGTTCCTTTTGTTAGATTTTTACGGAAAATGTGCCCTAGATCTAACTCTTAGGAAGGTCAAGATCTCAAGATCTTCCTATTTTTCATGTCCTGACTGATGGAAAATGATGGGTCTTTTGAGAGTTGAAGCAACACACTTCCCTCAAGAGTTAAAAAAAAGTTTACAAAACAACAGATTGAAAGTAACAAGTTCCAGTATTCCACAGCACAGTGGCTGCCAATCATAGTTCACAATAGTGTTTTATAACCTGTACCAAGAACTGGGGGAGAGGAGCTGGTAGACTCCAAACACAAGGAGAGGATGAGAAAATGAAAGGCTATTTGTCTGCTTTGATTAATTTATGATGGCTAGATATGCTGAAATATCACACTGTGCCCCATAAAATTACATATTAATAAAAAACATTAACCAATAAAATAATAGTAATGAACATATATGTGAACTATAGGCAGAAGCAGAGCTGGCAACATATTTCTTGTCAGCTTGGCTTATTTTAACAGATCAAAGAATGTTTGTTGTAAAATGCATGTATTGTTAACTTTGTGGTTGAAAGTGTTTAGCCGGATTTTTTACTATACCAGATCTTATGTCACAGAAGTGTTCTGAAATACAGCTTCGTGTTTAAAAGAAAGAGTATTTATTTGTTTGTTTATGTCATAGGACCTACTTTATAAACAAAGTTACTTTATAAACTTACCACTGAAGGATATGCTCATCCCCTAGAAATATGTTAAACTGAAACAACGTGATGAGAGTAACTCCTCCTGAGGCTTGTTTTCAAAAGAAAAGTATTGTTTAAGGAAACAAAATTATAAACCTGAGTAGGTGTATTGCAAACTGTTCCAAAACTAAATCAGTGAGTTTTATGAATGGAAATGTTGTGCCCAAGTCATTTCACCTTAAAAGGTTGCAACACATAGAGTTTCTCAAGCTTCTTCTCTATTAGTTTCATTAACCATGAGAATGCTCAGGGGTATAGAAGTCACTCCATTGAAAGAACCGAGGGTTTCAAATATGAGCCATCACTACTTGAGGTATAAAAACAAAGAAAGGACTTAATTGTATATTTAAAAACTAGATAGATTTATTCTCTGTTGCCCTAAGTTCCAGGTTAAATTAGATGATTTATGTGTTTTATGAATTAAAGAATTCCATATGATTATGAGACATGAGTGTTATTTGATTACTTTAGAAGCATCTTTGTGTGTCTTGAATGCATCCTAGTCAATGTTGTTTCTTTGCAAACTCACATCTTAGAATGTGAAGATTATAAGGGTGCATATAATACCAGATACCTAAGACATAGCCAAAGAAGTAGGAAGGAGATGTTGTGTTCAGTCTGTGCCAGGGCATTCTGGGTTCACCTGCACTACCTCTGTCCTAGACCCCATGGGAGCAACGGCCACACAGAAGGCTGTCAACACTGTAGGTGAAACTCATCTCCAACAATGGTAGAAGTACTTCTGATCTTCCTCCTTTGTCTTATAATGAAATTCTTTTTACTCTATTTTAGTTTTTAATACTACACACTTGTAAATGAAACATAAAGCACGAATCTCATACCCTCTATTTAACTTTTTAGCATCTCAAATAATATCCTGGAGGAAAGTTTAAAAGAATAGTCAGTTTAACTTTACCATTTAACTATACAATTTAACTATAAATTCACATATACCAGCAAAGATTATAGTATTTCTTCTTTTCTCCCATTTGTTTGCATTTCAATTTAATTTAAACAAAGTTGAGAATATTTGATTTGCTCGAGGATGCCCATCTTTCTTTATATTTGAATTGCTATAATCAAGTGGACAGTGTTGAAATCCTTATTTTTCCTTAGCATCATTGCTAGCTTCCAGAAATAAAGCCAAGAACATGGAAATAAATCTCTCTACAGAGTGTCAAAGGCAAGGTTAGTTTTGCAGTGACAGCTCTCATGACTAATGCACTTAGTCTTCCAGGGGATTAATTTATCTGCTGATGTTATATGTGATTTCTCCTTACTTTGGATGAGATCAGAACTTAAAAGACACAGGTGCATAAATCAAGAGTATGCATGTAAAAATGTTAGCAAAAATAATATGCATAAGTGTGCGTGTTTTTCTGACACAAAATGTAACTGAATTTTAATGAGGAATGAAGTGCTGTATTATTAGTTAAGGCCCTACTGAGTAGGCTGAATACAATACTCAACATGGCTTGTTTTCCAAGCTTTCATTGCTACACATGCATGCATAATTATTATCTACATCTTAAACCATCCCTTCTTGAATTCTCTAATTCTGTTGATTTTCAGTTATCATCCTTGGAGCACTGAACACTAAAGCTGGGGTTCTTTTGCTGGTTTCTGCCTCTCTGACTTCCCTGTCCCTCCTGTGCTCCAGGGCTACTGACCCTTTATTCATCATCCCTCTGGACCAGGGCCTGCCATTCCCAGAGCACTGCTGGACGTGAGGCTTTTGTTGCTGTCCCTGACTCCTGCCTTGTGATTAAGCCACTGTTCACATCTAATAGCAGAATCCTGAAGCAGTTTTACTGAAATCTTTTCAAAACTTGGAAGATATTAAGAGGGCTAATCCTGCTCATTTTTGATTTCCATTAATGTGGAATATCTTTTTCCATCCTTTCATTTTCAGTCTATGTGTATCTTTGTTGGTGAGGTGTGTTTCTTATAGGCAGCAAATACATGTGTCTTTTTTTAATCCATTAAGCCAGTCTGTATCTTTTAATTGGAACATTTAGGCCATTTACATTCAGAGTTATAATTGATAAGTAATGACTTGATCCTGCCATTTTCCATAAATATTCCTATTGTTTGTTTTGTATTTCCTATGTACTTTTACTAGAAGATTTTCTGCCTTGACATTCTTCCATGATGATGATTACCTTTCTGTATTTCTATGTGTAGCACGTCCTTAAGTATCATTTGTAAAACTGGATGAGTGATGACACATTCTTTCAATTTCTGTTTGTTTTGGAAGGTCTTTGTTTCACCTTCATTTATAAATGAGAGCTTCTCTATGGTGGGAGGGAGGATGGATGGGTATCTTCTTAGAATTGTTATATGAAATACATGAAATGTATTCTCTCTGTATTCATAAAATTTATTTTAAATTGTAAAAAAGCTAGGAAGAAATTTCTCTAGTTTTCAGTTGTCTATAAAAAAGAAATACAAATCTTTTCTCTTGCTATTCAAAGTTCCCTTCACATGTTTGTCTTTTTCCTTACCAGTAAACCATGTTAGACAACAGATGTGGGCATGCATATGCACATACACCACTATGATCACCACCATCACCATCACCCCACACAAATATTCTTCTCTTTGCTTTGCTCCATCTAAAACATCTGTGCCTTCAATTCTTTCTTCTGTTTATTAGTACTAAGCCAACGTTGGAGGCTGGTTTCACACAAGTTTCTCAATCAAATCTTCCTTTGTTACTTTAATGAATAAATACCTTTCCATAATTCACAGAAAATGTAACTATATGTGCATGTGTGTGTGTATGTGTGTGTCTCAAATGCAATGTTTTGTTCTTAACATTTTCTGATGACTGATCCTGTAGTTTACATGACATGGTAATATCAAAGGCAGAGGTGGAGAGTGTGCTATTTTACTTTTTCTAAATCAGTAATAGATTGTATGATGCAGAGAACACAATTTCAGGTCTTTCTCTGTATGAATAAATTGAACTACTGAACTGTGCCTTCTGTGAGGAAATAAAAAAGGAGTATAAATGTTGCATGTCCTGGAGGGTTAAAAGTCATAGCCTAAGGTGTGTTGTCACTCTTTCTTCCAGTGGATCAGTGTCCCCTTTGCACTGTCACATCCTGCAGTCTCTGACATCGGGTTTACAGCTGTGCATACCAAATACCAGGCACCTTGGCTGGGAACCATTGAACCATTCGAAGTCTACAGTTGGCTCGATAGTTTTCTGTTGTTGGTAAGTGATGCTTTTACCTAAGGAATGTGACTGAATTACTGCCCCAAACCAATGTGTTTTCATGATTTTCATATTTACACTAAACATATGCCTACTGGCTTCTGGCGATTTCTGAAGGCTGGGGCTGTCTTGAGTGGTGGCTGATAGTGCAAAAGAGGCAGTAAGAAAAGCATCTGCAGTGTTACATGTGTGTCCACATTTCTGCTGTGATGTACGTCAAGGAGTCCCCTTCCTTCCCCCAGGAACCTCCCCCAGTCTAAGAGCAAGCCAGCTGAACTTCTAATGTGTGCTCTGGAATAAAGCATTAAAAGCCAATTTATTCTCAAATAAGTAGTTCATTCAGTCTCAAATTACAAGCTAAGTGAGTCAGTGGACCAAAGGTCCTAGGTGATGAGATAAGATGGGAAAGGAGGGTGTCACCAAGAAAAATGCCGAGGGGTGCCAGGAGCCTGGGACAGCTTGAAAATGCACAGCACCATGAAGTAATGGAATTGGTGGCACTCAGGACATGGAAGGAAGCAGGGCAGATCACAGAATGAGGAGAGAGGGGAAAAATGAAATAAAACCAGATGTTAGGGTTCTGCTACTTAGAGTGTGTATGTATGAAAACATCATGTTGTGTTTGATTCCAGCATGAAGAAGAGGTGACATTGGATCAAAATTGGCACTTTCTGTGTCTTCTTTAGAGGACTGTCAGCCTCTTATGACTTTGGGTTTATGACACTTTGCTGAATTTTAGCATCATCTCAACATGCAGAGTGGGTGTGTCCTATCCAGTACAGAGTATCCTAACAAAGAGAAAGGGAAATACAAAGAAAACTAGTGTGTGTGGAGGGTTTCTGTCCACAAGGATTGTTGAGAAGTCCCTTGGCTCTCATTTTCCTGTGATGGCTTATAATTATGAGTGAAAGGACTAAGAGATTAAATCTCACTCCCTCAGGCCCGTATTCCAAATGACCGTCCCTCTTAGTCAGTTTGGGCTAGTCCAACAAAGTGCTATAGGCTGGTAGATGTATAAACACTGTAGTTTTTTTTTTTTATCAGAATTCTAGAGCCTGGAAGCATTAGAGCAGGGTGCCAGCTTAGTCAGGTTCATGGTGGTGGAGGGGGTCCCATTCCAGTTACAGAGTGGTGACTTCTCACTATATCCTCATGTGGTGGATAGAGACTGAGAGCATGCTGGTCCTGTCTTAAAAGAGCATTAATCCCATTCATCATGGCTCTACCTTCACCGAATACCATCACAGTGGGACAGGGTTTCAATTCTGTGGGGACACAGACGTTGAATCTGTAAGTAGAAGTCAGATTTTACTTTCCTTAAGCCTCTGATGAGCAAAACGCCTGACTTGATTGGAATATAAATTGTGATGCATTGTTTCATTTAATTCATTGGCATGAAAGATGTTGATACATTAATTGACAGGCTGCAAAATGAAAAGTTTTTGGAAAAATGGTCTTGAGGAACGGTCTTATAAATTTTAGAATTTCTTCTTTCAACGTATTTCAACTTTTGACCATGTATAGCTTTTATGAAAAGGAAATTATTCTGGAATTGTTATGTGACAGACACTTTTTTTAATGTGACAGACAGCACACATGAGGCAATTATAAATTAGACAGACATCCTGGAACACAGGTGATTAAAGATGCCTCAGGAAACTCACAACAAACTCATTCAGCAATTCCTCCATTCTTATAATCAATATGCATTGAATATGGACTCTGTGTTGTCAGAGGGCTGGCAATGATGCAAGTAGAAGTGCTTTTCCCCTTCATCTCCAACCATACCTACAAAACTTGACCTCTGCTCGTTCCAAACATGCAGGGGTCTCACAGCTGCTATTGTTTCCCTCCAACTTGCCTCCCGTTTTTGATATTGGTTTCTTATCCAGGTCCATTTCTGTTGCCTTTTCACGTGAGGATGTCCACTCAAAGCTTAAAGACTGACTCAGTGGTCATTTTTGTAGGTTTTCCTGATCACCTTGCAGCTGCTCATCTTCCTGCCTTATCCCCAAATAATAAATTATTTCTCATTTTTCCCATATAGACCACTTTACAGCATGTAATAAATTGCTTTATAGTTCAATGTCCCCAAACTTTTTGGCTGTATATTCTCAGTAAGAACTTTATCCCCAATGTAGGTATGTGTATGGTTTATATGTGATATACTAACCAGTGATGTAAACCACTTAACTAAAAAGTGTAACACTTAGGCATAAGGTAAAAATGAGCACAAGTGTGTTTCTAATTTTTTATTCCATATTTACACACACTTACATATTGTTTTGTCACTATGCACACCCTGCTTTGGGAAACACCATAACACATTGACTCTCCCAGTCAGTGGCGGGGTCCAAGTTCCTGGGCAGGAACCACACCATCTTCATGCTGGTACTCCTGTGACCATTCATTGCTTAGCACATGATGCAAGTCTGTAATTATGTATTAGGTTGTACTAGTTCACGTTCAACTTCATACTTTCAGAATATTTTAAATGATTCTCCAAAGTGAGGATAAATTGAAAATGTCTGGGTAGCTTTAAGGGGGTTTAAACTAGGCAAAAAAAAAAAAGGAAACATAAAATAAAAGAGAGAGAGAGAGAGAGAGACATGTCCTAGGTAATGACCAAGGGAGAGCCCTGGTGGGAATTCTGTGAAGTCAAAGTACACAATGAGATTATCTTCATCATTTTGGGATGCTATAACAAAGTCCCATATGCTAGATGGCTTATGAACAATAGAAACTTATTTGCCACAGTTCTGGAGATAGGAAAGTCCAAGAGCAAGGTGCTGGAAGATTTGGTGTCTGGAAAAGGCCATTCCTCATAGAAGGCACCTTCTCCCTGTGGTTTCCCATAGTGGAAGCAACAAACAGGCTCCCTGGGCCTCTTCTATGAGGATGTTCATTGTGCTCAAGAGGACTTCATCCTCATGACCTAACCATCTCCTAGAGGCTCCGCCTAATAGCATCTCCCGGGAGTTAGGAGATTTCAGTGCACAAATTTGGGCAAGGACATAGCTTTAGACCATAATAAATACAATGCTAACAATTGAGTTTTGAGACGTGTATGTACTTTCTGCACTTCAGAGTCATATTTATGACTATTCTAGTGTGATTGTGATAAACTTCTGTTTCTGTTTAAGAAAGAAAGGTAGTAGATGCCATGTGTCTTCTGTTCACTCTGGGTCCCTTTGGTCCTTGTGCAGATGCTAGGCGGTATCCCCTGGCAGGCCTACTTCCAGAGGGTCCTCTCGTCCTCCTCAGCCACTTATGCCCAAGTGCTGTCCTTCCTGGCAGCCTTCGGGTGTCTGGTGATGGCTCTTCCAGCTGTGCTCATTGGAGCCATTGGAGCATCCACAGGTAAATCTCCTGCACCATTACTACGGGTGCCTGCTAGTTCACTACCCGCCTCCCCCTCCTGCCCCTGCTGGATGCTTTCCCACTTCCCTCTCACCCCAGACTGTTGTTCCTCACTCTCCCCCTCATGTGGACCACTGTTGCAGAGCTTAGTAAATTGTATTGTGTTTCAGTGGTCTGCAGAATTTTTTTTTGATTGCTCAAAGTCCACTGCTGAAATATCTGTGAGCACACCTGCTTTCTCAGTTTGGAATATTTATCAGTTGCCTGGATGTATTCCTCTCTGCAGTGGTTCTCAGTGAGGTTACACATGGACATCCCCCAGAATGTGGGGAAGACTCAAAAACATCAATTTCTGAGCTACTCCACAGGACTTTGTTTTATGTTTATGTGAGAGGCTGAAGAAAAAGAGAAAAACATAGACAGGGATCTCCTATCTGCTGGTTCATTCTGTAATTGACCATAATATCCATGGCTAGGCCAGGCTGAGACCAGGCATAAGGAACTCAATCCAAGTCTCCCACATGGGTGGCAGGAACCCAGCTACTTAATCCTCACTGCCACCTCCAATGCATTGGCAAGAAAACAGAGCTAGGAGTGGAGCCACATCTCAGATTCAGGCACTCTGATACAGGATGTAGACATCTTAACTGGTACCTTAACTGCTGGACCAAATGCCTGCCCCAGGACCTTGTCTTTATAACCTAAGCCAGAGTTAGACACCTTTGTTTTGTAGGCTCCCCTGTGAATCCAAGTACACCCACATTGAGAGCCACTGGCCTAGAAGAAGTTTGCCTGTGACCATCAGGACCACCTGGGGACCACTTGAAACTTGAGATCCCTGCTTTACATTAACAGACAGTAGTTAACAATGGCCTGTCAAATAAGTGATTTTTCTTGGATAAATCGATCCATAAATATGTAAGTTAGGAAAAGCTAAGAAACTAGCAGCCAAGAGAACATTATGAAATATGGATCTCACTGTTTGCCTCCATATGGAACATTTTTAATATCTTACCTTTAATTTGTTTGAACTTGCAAATCACTCCTGACCACTTATAACCCCATGCTATACAACGTGTAATACCATTTGATGAAAATGAATCCCATTAACCCAAATTCAAAGGAATCCTCTAGGTAGAGGTAATTAAAACAGGTGAATGTATGTTCACCTTTACCCCATTGGGTTTTATAAATATGATCCAGGGTAATATTCACAGGGCAATGTTGACTTCCAATTAATAGAACTAATTATTGGATCATTTAAGTTTTAAAAGAGCAATAATATGCAGAGTTTGCACCCTTCACTCCAGTTGTTCATCCATGATATAAATAAGCACAAAGATTAAAAGATGCCAAAGTTAGTATGCCATGTTCATCTTTGGGGGAAAAAAGACAGCATTTATCTCATAAGCAGAAGACAGATCTTGATGTGGGTGCATCAAACAAAGAAGCATAAAGCCAATGTTTTGTTGAGTTAGGTATACATTCCAGGATGTTATTTGTGATATCATGACATCTCAGTTAAGGCAATAAATTTGGCTTCAGCTAAGCATGGTTTTGATGCCAATTGTAATGAAAAATAGGAGAAGAAAAATGCTGAGATACAAAGGAAACTACTGTTTGCCCTTGTCTTCATATTAAAGGTGTTCAGAGATTTTACAAAAGGAACTGTGCTAATGTACACACAAAGGGTCCATTGTACTCTTCAAGGAATGCCATAACAAAATAGTAAGTTTCTGTATACTAAAATACAAACCTATGTTCTAAGTACTCTCACCATACTAAGTCCAAAAACCTAAGGAAAATTTTAGCCTCATGACTGCATTCTTTATTCAATGAAAAGGGGCTGTCCTTAATCTAGAATGCCTCCTATTTCTAGTAAGCCAAATTCTACACACACAATGGAATTGAGTTGAGAGGAAAATGATCCTGAAGCAGCTCCAAAATCAAGTTTATACACAGGACAAGCATGGATAGGGATAACCCCACTGCTGTCCTTATCCGCTTGCATAGGGATCTTGGAACCCTAAGGCAGAGAAAGCTGTGTCCTCTTACATCTCCAAGTGTAGAAGGAAAACTCTGTAACTCATTTTAAAAGCATTTGTTGGGTAAGATTCTCATCAGGAAACACAATCATTGCAGAAAAGGCATACATACCTCACTAAGTTTGCAAATGAGACCAACTGAAATCAATATCCATTAGAATCAGGACAGATGGGGCCAGTGGTCTGGTGCAGTGAGCTGAGCTGATGCTTACAATGTCAGGATCCCATACCGAAGTGGCAGTTGGAGTCCTAGTTGATGCACTTCCTATACAGTTCCCCGCCAACACCTTGGAGGACAGCAGAGGATGGCCCAAGTGCTTTGGTCCCTGCAACCTATGTGGGAAATCCAGATGGACCTCCAGGCTCCTGGTTTGTGGCCATTTGGAGAATGAACCAGCAGATGTAAAATCTTTCTCTCTCCCCACTCACCTCACCTGCCTTCCAAATAAATAAAATAGATCTTAAAAAAAAAAAATCAGGACATGCAAGACTTTTCCACTTGACCGGTATGTAGACTAAAACACCATGCTCTTGGTTTATTTCAAAACCACCTATAAGTAGTGTAACTCCCAGGTAGATATGGAATATATGGCTCTTCAGTGATTTCGATGGTTGCTTCTCTTCAACAGACTGGAACCAGACTGCATATGGGTTTCCAGATCCCCAAAGTAAAAATGAAGCTGACATGATTTTACCCATCGTTCTGCAGTACCTCTGCCCTGTGTACATTTCTTTCTTTGGTCTTGGGGCAGTTTCTGCGGCTGTTATGTCCTCAGCAGATTCTTCCATCTTGTCAGCAAGTTCAATGTTTGCTCGGAACATCTACCAGCTTTCCTTCAGACAAAATGTAAGAACAGCCTTTCTTTTAAACTTATAATAATTATTGCTATTATTATTGCTGCTGTCATTATATTTATTGTGTATTTAAATTCTGACCATGTTTTGATGAAGCACACAAGATTAAATAACAAATAAGTTTATTTACCTTGTAAGTGGATGTAATCAATGCCTCTTATCATACATTCTGAAACTGAAGGGAACAAAATCAGTACCACTATTTCCCAAGTCGCACAGTCACATCGCTGCAATTCTTATCTTTCTGAAGAAAGTATAATGAAGTTTAAAATATCTTAGTAAAAGTTATTAGAATCTTTTTTTTACTTTATAAAAGTAGAGACAGACATAGAGGGACAGATAGGAAGAGAGATTGTTCCTGTCCACTGGTTCATTCCCTAAATGCAACAGCCCAAAAACTGGGACTGAGAATTCAATCTAGATATCCTGCAGGGGTGGCAGGGACTCAAACACTTGAGCCATCATCTACTGCCTCCCAGGGTCTCTAATTAGTAGGAAATTGGAATCAGAAACCAGGAACAGGAATTGAATCCAGGTTCTCCAACATGTTACATGGGCATCCTAAACTGGCATCTTAACTGCTATGCCAAACGCCCAACCCTTAGCAAAATTTTGGTATAATCAAATGCACTAGGAAACTGGAGCGCCTTAGTGGAACCAGGGCATGTGGACTAAGTTGCTTCATGCTCATGTATAAGATCTGGAGTGCTCCTTGTTTAAATTCCCAAGGTCAACTGGGTTAGAAAATATCCTCTCAATTTGGTTCTCCTTATTGAACCAAGAGGTGGTAGGACAGCATGTTGTGTTGATGGCTAAGGGACCAGGAATTCCTATCAAGAACTGTTCTCCTTTGACCAAAGCTTGGATGCTCTTTAGGTTAACATAGTCATCCCAGTGGTCTTTTACTAAGGGAACTCCTCAAACAAATCACTTTTGAGGGTGGCAGAAAGTGATTAACCCTAATGAGAGTAACATCCTATGAAGAGAGGAAGTAAGGATGACCCCTCCACAGACAAGGAGCAAAATGTTCTCTTGCATCCTCATCCTGCGATCACACCACAGTAACCCTTCCTTCCTGTGTGTTCAAGGACAGACTCAGGTTCTGTTTCATGTGCATGGTGCACAGGAGCCCCGTCCAGATGTCAACCTGGAAGGCCACATTGCTTGCTTTGGGTGCTGTAAGTTAGGGAGAGATTTGCTATAGGTAGGGGTGGTATTTGCCTATAGATTGAGGCATTTGAACCAAGGAAGTTCCTCAGATAAATTTTAAAACCTAGAAATGTGTCTTATTCGTTGCCTAAATGGGTCCGTGTGAAAGGCTGACACTGGGGCAATTTCTTACAGGCATCAGACAAGGAAATCGTCTGGGTCATGCGCATCACAGTGTTTGTATTTGGAGCATCTGCAACAGCCATGGCCTTGCTGACAAAGACAGTGTATGGGCTGTGGTACCTCAGCTCCGACCTGGTTTACATCATCATCTTCCCACAGCTTCTCTGTGTGCTGTTCATCAAGGGCACCAACACCTACGGGGCCGTGGCAGGTTACGTTTCTGGCCTCTTCCTACGAGTAACTGGAGGGGAGCCCTACCTGTATCTGCAGCCCCTGATCCTCTACCCTGGCTACTATGCGGATAAGAATGGCATCTATAATCAGCGGTTCCCGTTTAAGACACTCGCCATGGTGTCCTCATTCCTGGCCAACATTGGCATCTCTTATCTAGCCAAATACCTGTTTGAAAGTGGAACCTTGCCACCAAAGTTGGATCTGTTTGATGCCGTGGTTGCCAGGCACAGTGAAGAAAACATGGATAAGACAATTCTGGTCAAAAATGAAAATATTAAATTAAATGAACTTGCACCTGTGAAGCCTCGACAGAGCCTCACGCTGAGCTCAACCTTCACCAATAAAGAGGCCTTGCTTGATGTGGACTCCAGTCCAGAAGGGTCTGGAACTGAGGATAATTTGCAATGACCCAATCTCAATACACGACTGCTTTCTCAAACAGAGCACTGTGGTAGGGTAGTCCTGGAAGGAGGGTTTGCAGCATATAAAAATATATTAAAAATATAAACCCCATTCAGGAGGACAAAATTCCTCCAGAAAATAAAAATAAGTCCTAAGGGAGGAGTTCAAGAAAAATAAAGTGCACTTGTACAAGTACATGCCAAGCTAAAAGGAAGCACCTGTGAGAGCAGCGACTTTCTTTCTCGTTCATAGTAGTTTTAGTGTTGATGCTAAGTAGTTTTGTTAGGTGTACAAAAATGAATAAAGTCCCATTCAAAGATCATAGGGCCAACCAAAATATTCATTTTATTGTGAAAAAGGGAAGTAGGTATAAAAGAACCTGCGAAAAAGGAAATTGGATCGTCTTGATCCGAACCTTGTTTGCTAATGCGTTGCTGAGGGCAGTTTAATACCACGCTGAGGCGATGAGAGTCCCACAGTCACATGGTGCAGTGAATCAGCTAGCTTGTTTTCCTTGATGTGTGATTACCCACCCGTTTCATGCTGTGGACAATGACATTTGCTGTTGTTCCTTTAGTGATGGTGTGTTTTATTCTGAGCACAGGTGGAGCAGACACGCAGATGCCATGTGCACTGGCACTTCTTCATGTGCAAGCTGATAGGAGGCTGGGTCTGTCTCTGCAGGGGCCCGGGGCTCCTCTGAGCGTGCCATAACTATCATATGTGTAGAGAAGAGGATTGAGCTTAGGAAGATTATCAGGCAACCTTGCAGCAACCTATCAAGAAGCACATCAAGCAGAAAGTGATAGGATGACCAGAAGCTTTTTATCTTCATCTGAAGTAAGTTTTTCCCCATGATAAAAGAAGGAATGTTTTGGCTTACTGTGTCCAAACAAGTATTGAAAATTAAATTGAGTTATATGTAAGAAGAGATGGCTGTATGGCACCATTGTTGTTGATGGCAAACTGAAAAATTAATGTGTATTTCCTTGCATAGAATTACTGGCAATTCCCAAAGCACCTTGCAAGAGCAGTAAAACCAGAAAACAAACCTCACTCATTTTTGGCTATTCATTAATGGGGATGATTTAGTGTTCAGGGAGTATTCTGTGCCACTTTTGCACACAAGCTAGTTTACAGGGATGGGACAAGTAACCGTGTACAAACATTGTAGAATGAATTTTAGAATGTGGAAGAAAGCAGAAAGTAAAGTAAGTCCCTAAAGGGAAGAAGCCATCAATTTTAACATTTGATGTCTGTATAACTTTCATGAGGTCAGTCATTAAATATTATTTTGCTCCTTTTCTGGAGTTTGAAAAAATATGTATATGTAAATATATATATATATGTATATGTAATGGTTTGTGTCCATTATAGAATTTTCAAATGCTTTTCCACCAGCCACACATTATAGAAGTATCTGGAGATGTGTTTACAAAAACAGAGTGAACTGATGAGTGGAAAAATTATCTGGGAATTTGATCCAATAAAGGAAGCCAATTTGAATTGTAGAAACCAAAACATGTTTTCTAAAAATATTCCTCCCTTTTTTCTGAGGCACAAACAAAATTGCATTAACTCAGTGTCCAGCATTAAGTATAAAATTGTGTCCTTGACCCCAAAAGTGCTTCTTATATGTTTTGAGTATAATTGTCTCAAAGCATCAAATCTATGAATTAAGTCCCCAGAGTAATTTTTCAAATATCAAATTCAGTAAGTTATACATTGTAATGTCTCATATTTTCAATGCTTTATCAAAGTTTAATAGTGAATATGACATTGCAATTAAAAGGATTACTGAAGATCCTGTACACTTCAGAAAGAAGAGAATTCCTTTATTCATTTGTTTGCTTAGAACCTACTCAGTACCCATAGAGTCATTGGAAAGATATTTTTGGAATTAGTGAGTATGGGAATCCAAGATTCTCAGACTGCAAAAGAATCAGGAACAGGAAATATATTAAAAAAAAAAAAAAACACACAGAGATTAAGACACGTGCTATGGACAGGTAGTGAACTGGTAGGGACTCCACTTCCTGGCAAACAAGACGTTTTAGATACAACATGCTTTCCAGTATACCAGCCAAGTAATGAGTTCTGTCCTCTCCAACCCATGACTTCTGGTCTCAACATTTCAGATATGTCATGGACACGTCCCCCATACTATAATGGTACTCAACACAGAAGCACAGATGTTATATTTTACAATTTCCTTGAGCAATAATTGTGTCAAAACAACCATATTTAAATCCAACAAAAAACAGCAAATATTAACAATAAAAAATGAATAAAAATTAATTTAACAATCAGAAGATACGAGGAAGAAATTTTCTCTAAAATATTAAAACTAGAGAGTTTAAATCATTTAAGATTAAAATAATGTTATGTGTTTATTTAACCCATTATTTCTCACCTTCTGTCAAACAAAACATCAAAAAATTAGCTTCTTACTTAATCTAAAAATAAATGTGCTATATTTTAGCAAGATGGTTTTTAAAGTACAATATAAGTTAAAGACCAAAAGGAATGAAAGTCACAAGATATTTATTTATTTATTTGTGCACACTCAAATGAATTCCCCCCTCCCAATTTGTAAGGAAGGCACAAATCTGTTACCTGTAGATGAAGTTCCATTCCTATTGCCAGCTGTTTTGACATCATGGATAAGGCAGACAGCTTTGTATTTGTCCAGCCTCACTCATGGACCTGAAGTTTTCAGAACTCGCCCTTAAAGTAACTAAAACATTTTCAACACTGGCCATATTAACCTCCAGAGGCAATACCTGTGGATAAAGCATTAGAATAAAACAAATATTTTATTTTCATATTTCTACAGTGATTGCAACACATTTTTGGGGTAACTTTAGTTTTTTTCATTCATATAATTCAAAGCATCACACTTAGAGCTGGACTGTCAACAAAAAACTTTCAAGCACTTGGAGTCAAAATCCAATTCCATTGCTACACTTACAATTAATGAATTTTGTGACTTCCAAATGAGTATAAGATTGAAATAAGCAAACCTAATATACTGGCTTTTGGCTTTTATTTGAAACTAATGAATGAGTATTATATTTTAGGTCTAAGTTATGATTTTTCTTTTTTATTTTTTTGCCTTTAGCCTTCGAGAAAATTTACTGAAGTATAGTGTGTAATTTATTGTAAGTTTGCTACTGATATAATGCTTCTAAAACATATATTTTTGTCTGTCAAAACTTATATAAAATTATGCTTAAAATAAGTAGATTTGCATCTATGTATGTAAATGTTTTAAATGTACTTGTATTGTATTGCATTGTACTGTATTAAATTGTGCTGCTACAATTCAGGATATTGTTCAGGTTTAACTTTTTGGAGTCCTCTCTCTCTTTTTAAAGATTTATTTGGCTGAAAGGCAGAGTTACAGAGAGAGGGAGAGACACAGAGAAAGAGATCTTCTATCCGCTAGTTCACTCCCCAAATGGCCACAACAACCGAGGCTGGGCCAGGCCAAAGCCAGTAGCCAGGAGCTTCTTCCAGGTCTCTCACGCGGGTGCTGGAGTCCAAGGACTTGGGCCATCCTCTGCCGCTTTCCCAAGTGCATTAATAGGGAGCTGGATCAAAAGTGCATCAGCCGGGACTTGAACCGGCACATATATGGAATGTTAGTGCTGCAGGCTGTGGCTTAACCCACTACCATAGTGCTGACCCCTGGGGTACTCTCTTAAAAGATATGCAAATGGAGCTTCAAGACAATTATGCAGTGGATTGCAAAGAAACCATCTCATTTCTGTAGGATGTACAAAGGCATTGCTTAAGTCTCGAGAGAGTATCTGATACCATACCTCAAAACGAAGTGAAATTGTCTCTCTTGAAAAGACATTCTACCACTACACACAGGTTTTTCTTTAAAGCAAAGAAATCAATAGAGATAATGTCCATTCCATTAGCATAAAGGAGATCTATATCTTAGAAATCAAGTAGCTGTCTGATAGCAGCAGTTTAAAAGTGTAATTACATATACTCTAAGAAGAACTTTGGCCTCGTACTTTAGAGACCTCATTAGAGCATTAGAGACCTCAGCTGCTGTTAGGACAGAAGGGCCTGGAAAGAGCTTAAGGAGGAGTGAAGGATCCAATATGTAGTTAGGGCAGAAAAATATTGCAGCAACGTGTCTGCCGCTATGGACACACCGCAGGCCAGTAAGCATTTTTATTTTATCACGAATCTGTACTATTGGGGAAGTTATTAGAAGCCAGAAAAGGTAATATCCTGGCATGCATCATTGGAGCCTTTGTATTTAACCTTCATTTTAACCATTTTGTGTCGAGAATTAAAATGTGATCATGAGCGTTTTCCTAAAGCACTCTTGAGAGAGACCCAGGAAGCTACAGGATGATAATAATATTAATAATAATTTCTACATTTTTGTACACTCACTTGAAGAAGTGCTCTAAAACAGAAAAGGCCACCATCTTGTATTATTTAAAACTTCTAAAATGAAACAGGAGCTGGTAATTCGTTTTGATTTTTAGTTGGAAAAATAGTTTTCTATTTAAAAGAGATACCGTGAGATATTTTGGAGAGGAATTGCTGCGTTGATTTATCTGTGATCTAGAAACAGCTGAAAACATAAACCACACAGGACATAGACCTTCAGAGCAGCGGATGTGACTGGAGGGAATGATAACAGACAGTAGTGGTGCAGGTGCAGCTGGAGGGAGCCGCGCAGGGAGCCGCGCAGGGAGCCATGGACCCACTGGCTACAGGGCATGAAACGGGTGTAGCTGGGAAGTTACTGAAACTTTCTGGGGCTCAGGTTTATGCAGATATGGCTTTTAAGGCCCCGTGTACATCTGGTTGTCGGTTACTTCCTTACTTGGACGCCTATTCAGGGCGTTGTGGTATTAACTTGGTAGAGTAAAGAGTGTGGGCTGTGGAGAAAGACACACAGCTTTAAACAGCAGCTCTGATGGAACCCGAGGCCCTCCGCGGTCTACGGTTCTTCCTAAACCACCCTTCCTCTGCTGCCCTCGGACTTGCAGACGTGAGGGGTGCTCACGGTACATGGTATTATACAGACATGGCCTCATGGTAAAACACTGTAAAGCGGAAGAGATAGGAAACTAGGGATGCAACTCTATCTCCCTAGTTGGAAAGTCAATTCGACTTGCAATCCTGTCTGATATCCCACTGGCTACCAATCTGGAATCTGCATTACAGATGAAGTAAGAGGAGTCAGGTGTTAAGGTGTACTGAGTTACAGAACACATTCGCTTCTCATGGCTTTTCATGAAGCTGTGTGCACAGAGCTTCACGCTGATCTGCATGCATGCAAATTGTGTTCCATGTACAAATGTGATTTTCACCACGAGTGGCTGCATCTGTGGTAAAGCTTACCTCATTGTTCTGTGGGTTTTTTTTTTAAGATTTACTTATTTATTTGAAAGTCAGAGTTATACAGAGAGAAGGCAAGGCAGAAAGGGAGAGATCTTCCATCCACTGGTTCACTCCCCAGATGGCCACAACGGCTGCAGCTGCACTGACCCGAAGCCAGGAGCCAGGAGCTTCCTCTAGGTCGCCCACGTGGGTTACAGGGTCCCAAGGACTTGGGCCATCTTCCACTGCTTTCCCAGGCAATAGCAGAGAGCTGGATCGGAGGTGGAGCAGCCTGGACATGAACTGGCGGCCATATGGGATGCTGGCACTGCAGGTGGCGGCTTTGCCCACTACACCACAACGCTGGCCCCTATGCCAGCCCCCATCCTCATTGTTAATCCTGAGACTTTCAGGCAGTAGCACCTGCCAACAGTGCTTTGAGCTAAGAGTAAGGAAGAGAAAAAATTCATGGGAGACTTGTAGATTTGGGAATACCCGTGGAACATCAGTGTGTTGCAGTGTTTCTGATCATTCTATGAGAAGGCAAAATACGATTCATACAATTTTTGCAGAGGTATAAAAAATGATAAGTGGTTGCAACAGTGATTTTTTTTATTTTGAGACTCACTCAAACATGGCCTTCCAAGCTCATAAATGTGGGGGGGATGGCAATGTAGATGGAAAATAAATGCTGATGGATACCAACAGAGAGTAAAATGAAATTTGAAAACATGAAGGTCAAGAAACTGTTGAAAGCTGTATTACTCTAAATAGGTTAAAATGTTCCAGGCACAGATGGCCATGGGCACCAAGTGCAAGCTATGACTTAAGTGCGGGGACAATCTGGGATGAACCCATGCAAAGCAATCACAGTCCCCAGTGTGATTGTTCCTGTGCACAGGGCTTGCAGATGCACAATGGCGCTGCAAGGTCTAGCTGCCGCCAGTCGACATCAAGGCCAAGTCTAGCCTGTAGAAAGCATGTCTGACCTACATAGCATTCTCTTTTATAACAATTTCCATTTAACTTCTAGTTTTTACAGTAAAATTTTTACTAAATAATACTATATCTGGTAAATATTACCCATGTATCAGCTTTTTTCAGAAAGAACTACAAAGTTTTAGAAAATAAGTTTCTAAAAGTAAAAAGGAAAATATTTATATTTTAATATAATTCATATCTATGCAAATTAAAATATTTATTTTATAAAAATAAAAATATCTGATTATGACTTTTATGTACTTAGTTCAGCCTCTTGTTCTTTCTATACCTACTATCAACAAAACATTTCTAAGATCACATGTATCTTAAAATTAAAAAAACTCAAAATAATTTTAGCTCACTCTACCTTCTAAGTTAAGGGAAAAGTTGAAACTGTAAAATAATGGAATTTGGAGTAAGATTTTAGTATTCATGATGGTCATTCCCAGGAGTCTCTTCAGAGCTTCCAGTTCCTCACTCCTACCTCCTGCCCAGGTACTAGGATGCTGCCTTCTGTCCTGGTTTGCCTCTTGATTGTTAGGTCTTGGATGAATTAATTGACCTTTCATGATCTCAAAATCTTTCCTGTAAATGCTGTAAGCGATGTACACTTTTTTTAGGATTATTAATTTGAGAGGCAGAGTTACAGACAGTAAGAGGGAGGGAGGGAAAGAGAGGTCTTCTACCTGCTGGTCCATCTCCAAATGGCCTCAATAGCCCGGGCTGGCTCAGGCTGAAACCAGGAGTCCAGAGCTTCTTCCAGGTCTCCCACATGGTTGCAGGGCCCCAAGCGCTTGGGCCATCCTCCGCTGCTTTCCCAGGCCATTAGCAGAGAGCTGGATCGGAAGAGGATTGGCTTGACTCAAACTGGAGACCATGTGGGATGCCGGCGCTGCAGGCGGAGGTTTATCCTACATGCTATAGCAACAGTCCCAATGATGTGCATATCTGTAAATGATCTTTAAGAAATCTCTCTGGCTTGAAATTTAACAGCAGTGGTCTGCATCTTCCTTTTATATCAGCCCAGTCACAGTTTATTACTGACACTGGGATTATTGGAACTATCCTAAGATAAGTTCAGTGTTTGCTAAGTATTTGAAGTACTTAGTACTTCGTAACTACAAGTGTCCCCTCCCTCATCCCATTACCTTTCCAGCTGGCTACTGCTCCACTTTCTCTGGTAACTATGCATCTTCTCCTCCTAGGACATTTAGAAGGAGGGGGATGGGTTTTATCTTTTTAGGCCAAAAATAACACTCATCCACTCTCACTATGTCAGACGTCCATATCCTTAGAGATGATCTTATGTGACCTCTGACATGTGCATCTAACTCTGTGATGACTACATACAATCAAGGCTTATTATAAACAGACCTTTCACCTTATCCAATTATTTAGTTGGCAAAAATTATTCAAAAATGTGGTGCAAGTGCAATGTGGTTCAAGAAACTATTCTAGGTTGATTTGTTATTCCTGGAATGAACCTCTGATCAGCATTGGTCCTAAATCATGGGTGTGCATTGGAAACAGCTGGGAAACTTTTGAAACATTTGGGGACCCAGCCTGGACCAATTGATTCAGAAGTCCCGGAGGTGAGGCTTAGTGTCAGTATTTTCAAAAGTTCACAAATCGTTGTAATAGGTAGTCAGGGTTCTGAATAACTCATCTAAAATCTGAATCACTGAGATATCAAGAAGAAATGCCTGTTGTATGACCACTAGCTAATGCTTAGATTGGAAACAAAAGTGCTTAAAAACAGTTATTTTCTTATGCTTGTCCCATAGATGATTGCTTAAAATTACAGATAACTAGAAAGGAAAATGGATATAAAACAAACATGCTTGAGAGTGAGAAGTGCTACAAAGAAAGAAAGTATAGGGCATGATTGAAAACATTCTGCTTCCCACATTAAAATGATGAAACACTATTTATATAATAAGCACTTATTAACCTTATGTAGCCTATGTTCAGATAGTTTCTTTTAAAAAGTTTTTTTTTTTTATTTATTTGAAA